TATATATATCTAATATAGTTGACTTAAATACATCATACATTCTTTATTGAAGAAAGAAAAGTGAACTAGTTAATGTGTGTTATATTACATTTATATTTGAGTGCTTTTCATTATTATATTTAATGACACAAGTTTATATAAGTCGATACAAGTGTCGTTCTATCTTTGTCATTCTCTGAATGTTAAGAAGGATAGAACGACATTTGTATTGATTTGTGTCATCAAATGGAAAGCACCCATTGTTGAGTGTGAAAATATGACATTGATGTTACTTCTTGGTGTTTACGCATTGAACTTCATCGATGGAGATTAGCACACGTTTAAATCTATCAAGACTTTAATGCAAAATCATATGCTGCGATGGCCGACAATGTAAGGACAAATCCAAGGCGGATTCCTAATAAATCTTTTACCTCTTTCTCTGCACTGTTATAGACGACCATGGTGCCGTAGGCGATGAAATACAAAGCATCACCGCGCGCACCAGCTTTAACTAATACGTCGTTTGACATGAAAATCTGGGAGTGCACGGCACCAATAAATTGTGCCATCACTATCTCCGGCAGATTTCTGAATAGATCCACATCATTCAGCAATCGGCTATAATTGTGCAGAAGAAGTTTCTGAAACGATAAAGGATCAATTCTAGAAGGAATTTTAATGAAAAAAAATCTCATAATATAATACTTTTCAAAATTTGTCATATTTTTAATTTACAAAGAAAAAATATATTTTATAAACTTTTCAGATTTTATAATTTTTTTTAGAAACTATACAAAATGAAAAATTTTTAAATATTTCAAAATTTTTACTTAAATTAATTTTTAAAGAAAAAGAGTTCTAAAAAAGATGTAGACTTTCTATAATCATTACTTCGACAAATGTTCTAATACGTACAAAAAAATTTGAGAAATTTTTTAAAAAGTTATAAAACAGAAATTCTAAAAAAATTTTAAATTTACAAAATAAATTCTGAAAATTATATTCTAAAAGAAATTTCATTAGAGTAACATATAACTTCAGAACAATCTTATAGTGCATCATTTTTATCATTTTTGTGAAGTCTCTTTTATGAAAAGAATTCACGAATGTCGATCAGAATGAAAACGTTTTCGTAAAAATATACTTTTGTATATTCTTTATGAATTGTTTTAAAACACCACTGTACTTTTTGCAAATAGGGTGATACATGGTTGATAATAATCTTGTTTCTCTCGAATCCTTTTTTATTACGATAATCATAATAAGACAGTAATCGCCGCTGCAAGGAATACGACAATTCCTTGTAGTTCATGTACTGTTCCAGCTCCTCTATTAATTGTAAATGTCTTTTACGAGTAGATTGAATCGTTGCCATTAACTGTGAGAGTTGCGCTGCAGCCGTTTCGAGAAAAAAAACACTTTCTATTGATTAATGAAATCACAAAACTTAATCTTAAATTAAATAAACTTATAACAATAGAAAAATTGTGAAAGTAAAAGTAGAAGAGATATGATTTCAGAAATTTAATACAGATGTATTATAAAAAGTTAACTTTACGTCATTGAAGATTATTTGAAAGAGATAAAAAATTCATGAAATTATATAGTATAAAAATAAAAATAAATATTTCAGAGCTTGTTTCTATATCCAAATATATTCAGTATTTTGTTAAATTGATACAATCTTTTATTCAAATTAATTAATTTTAATAAAGAAATTTTCTTAATTAATCTAATTAAACAGGACGAACGTACTCAGCATATAAATAAATCCGAGCAATCCGAGAATGGAGAGAATCATATTATATATAATATCCTCTGGAGTTCTGACATCCAAATAATGCGTGGATGTAGTTAAGGCAATAACAGCTCTGCTAACACATGATAGGTAAATCGCAAATTTTGTTTTCTTTTTCTCCATGTAAGACGATAGTATCCATGATCTACAAATTTTTTTTATGCTTTTATTATATCTTTCGTTTCAATTGACTGCGCATTTTATATAATTATCGTGGGGAAAAAGCATCCCAGTAAATAAATTGTTGTTAATAATAAATTATTGATATCAAACTTGCTCATTTGTTTCCAAAACCTGAGTAGTGAATATGGTATATAACCAGACAAAAAATTGGAAAACAAAAACCTTGCAAATTTAAGTCGGTTTTGATCGATTCTTACTATCAATTTACTGTTAGGTTATAAACAAACTTTGAATAATTTTTGCGACAATTTATTCTCACGTCAGTAAATTTTGTTATTTATCTGTCATCAATTTACTGATATTATTACTTGATATTATTACAGAATATAAAAGAATTTGCTTAAATTTGATGTCTTTTTATCAATATTTGTAGCAATATTTGACAAAATTTGTTTTCAACAGACTTGTCTTACTGGGACTTGTCTTACTCTCTTCAATACATTAAAATTGTTATACAAACAAAAAACAATTAAAAAAAATAGAAGCCTACAGCATTATTTTAAATAATATCAAAATTTTTAAAAAATCTGTAGAAACTCAATTTCTCGGAGAAATTCCTTAAAATATGCTTTTTGCTAATATACGTAAGTGATTAATAGATTAAAATTTTTCATTCGAGGTACAATGCGTAGATTCTGTCGATTACTAACGCATCATTCTGTCCAACCATCTTGGCGACCGCCAGCGGCAAATAATACTCCAGACAAGCAGCCCATTGCACGCATACGATAATGATGACACTAATCTCCGCTATCTTATATAGGTGGAAATTAATTTCGTAAACCTGTAATTTTCATGTTTAATGTTTGAGTGAATAAGATCTCGATCGATGCATCGTACAATAAAGACAAAGAAGAATAATCGTATAAATCCTAACATAATAAAGTCCGCGTGAGTATTTGATGACCGTTTGCATCCAAAGTATTTTCAGTAAGTTCAATGCCGCCAAGTACCACATTGATTTGAAAAGCACGAAGAAAAATTCCAAGGGTAGCACTGGCAACACATTTATGACGAAGGCACCCCGCAGATATTTGCTACATTTTTATCATCTTGTAAATCATTAAAAAATTCACCTTTCCAAACAAATAAATCCGCATTTTGAAAAGAATAGAGATTAAAAGAGTCATATAAAGCTATAAGAATTTTTATATAATAAATGTTATAATAAATTTTAAAAAATATAAAGTCACATAATAATTAAAGAGATAAATTATAGAGATTTTTATTGACATACGACCTCTATTAAAGCTATGGGAGGGGGGGGAAGAAGGATTATTACATATATAATCTCTATATTGAAAAAAAAATTGACTGCTACAGCAAACTAGATGGTAAAATATGCATAGCATTTTTAATTGGCCAATTTTTGATTACGTTAGCTTATCCGCAATAGGATTTCGATTAATCTAAAAGGTTTAATTTTAAAAAAATTAAAATTAAATCTGCTGCAATTAATTTAAAATGTCATATTTTACCATCTAATTTGCTGCAACAGTCAATCTTTTTTCAGTGTATTCTTTTATTTAAATACGAATTCTATATTATTTAACACGGATTTTATAAATATGGAAAACATAGAAAAAAATTTTTTTTATCGTAGACTGATCTTAATGATTAAGGCTAAATGTTTTGCATTCGTACCTTGCCACGATCTTTGGGTTCAGAATTATTAGTTGTGTTCGGTAATCATAATAACCGGTGAAAAACCAGATCACAATATCGCATATAAATACGCTGTCGATCGCAAGGTTAAAAAGGTACCATTTCTCAGGTTCGTCGAAATAAAATGTGAGAAATACAGGAGTGACTATTAAAGTCATTATCATAAATAGCGTCATCGCAGATTCCCAAAATATTCTACATAAGTTTTGTTGATTCAGTACTTTCGTTTTACAATTGGAAATAGACTTAGCCAATTTGTTATTTAATTTCGCTTGTAATTTTATGGAAAAAGTCCTCTGGCTGACCTGAAAGTACTGAAAGGATGGATCATGTTGGGATAGAACTTGAAGTGTTGACTAATCTCGTAATCGATCGCCTGGGTGCTCTTCAGGAAGTATTGCGTGTATGGATGCTTTCGTGACGCTATCCGAATACCAAGGAACCAACGTCGTAGCTTTGACCAAAGAGAAGTTCCGGGAATCATTTTCCTCAATAAATCCTCCTTCGGCGGCATTTTACAAATGTGTACCAAGCACGGCTCACGCAGTAAATATGCTTGCTTTAATATTGATTATTATTATTTTTATTGATTATTACATTTTTATTTTATTGATTATTACAATAAAAACTCCAACTTGAGACAAATAGTGCATATTACTGTGTTTCTTTAAATTCGTTTTATTATTCATAGATTGTTGCAAAAATATTGAAGAATTGCTTTGTATTACATTAAAATCTTTTTTTTTTAATTGTAGTTCATATAAAATTACAAATCCATATAATTCCTTTACAATTATCGTATTTTTTATCATATAATACATTTTCAAAGAAACGATACATAGCATATTGCATCCGAAAAGTTATGTATATTATCTTATTTTAAATAACACTTTATCAAAATATTTATATACTTTCGTGAATTTATTTTTCTCTAATAATCAAATAAAATTGCAAAATGATAGAAGATATTTTGAGTTTAGTTCGCTCTATCTATACAAGAACGCTTGATAAAAAATTTCGAGACACTATAATAAAATATTCGCGGAAATAGGGGATCCTAAAGCTTCCTGTTTTATCGATTAAATCATGTAATTTTTGTATAACAAATACTTTTTTCTCTTTCACCGATTCGAAAATTCTTTTCTAGGATTAAAGTATATGCATTAATACATATCTGGGAAGTGAAGTCTATGTCTAAAACGATCAAAAATTTCAAAATTGATATATTTTTTATCATTTCTTAGTGAAACATGGCGTTTCAGCTATCAAGTCGTGACATTTGCTTGAAATAAATGTTTTGTAACCCGTATGTACGAAATAGTTTCCAGACATAGTTTACACGAACAAATAACGTCGAGTTCTTAGAATTAAACTTAGATGCTTTATTGCGATGAATTTGTTATACGAAAACATTTAACACGAATGTGTGACTGCATGTATCATACGTGAGATATTGATGTGGTAGTATATAAAACATGTCGATGCGCGGCGCGCGGCGCGATTTCTGGTGACTTCGTCGGCATTCTAGTTTCGTTTTAGGATCCCCTTAAAAACGAATAAAAATTCTTATACCTAATTAATGGTAAAGTGATTGCAATATTTTACCTTTTTGAAAAAATAATATATTGATCGATATATTATAACATATATATTTTAAAATTAATTTAATACTCAGATAAGTTTATTAAATCAATTGCTCATACGATTCAATATCATTGAATTTCATTGAAATTAAAATAGAATTCTGTTTTCTTGATATCTCTTCTGGATGATGATAGCATACCTGATTTGGTATCCTTGTAGAATCGGGCACAAAAGCCATCAAATCCATATTGTTTCCCTTAACTGTGACTTTGAAAATAAAATAATTCTCTAGTTTCTTCTCGTCTATATGACCTTTGTTATTTCCTTGTCTCGTCCTTTTGTACAATCTTTCGTTTTTCTCCGTTTCCTTATTTAAATTTAAAGAAAGGAATTAAAATACATTTAAAGTGAATGTCAGAATGATAATGAAATCGATATCGAATCGACATCGATTCGACGTCGATTTGATGCCTTCGATGTCGAATCGACATCAATTCGATTTCATTATCATTTCTGACTGGGAATATTATATGAACATTGTAGAAAATTCATTTTTTCTATTTCTAATAATAAATACTTAATAACAATAAATATTAATTTACAAAAATATTAATAAGTACAAATCTAAAACCTGTAATAAATATATATAATTTAAATAATAAATCAGAAATTAGACAGTATAATATTTGCTTATATCCTTTTATTCACGGCTACATTTAATGATCACAAAACAGTAGTCACCGAACGAAATGTGTTCACTGCATTCAGTAATAGCTCCTTAAATATCTCCGAATCAAAACTGTGTATCAGATTCACATTCGGTTTGTTCGATAACAGATGATCGAGGACAACTTGGCCCCGAGTTTTGTTGCCATTCAATTCGATGTCTGCATGCCACAGAACAACATTTTTGGCCATATGAGGTATCAACACAATTCCGGCTAGAAAAGCATCGCACATGGTATAATAAGGAAAATGCTTTTTCGCTTGTGAGCGTCTGCTGTCTTCAATTATGTTCATCATGTGCACGCAGGGTTTGTCTATTTTGCCTAATACATCTCTTCGCCATTCCTGAAAAAATTTCTGAAATTATTATTATTTTGTGCTAATAATAGAGATTGAATTAAATGTGATTAATTGCTATATTGACAATATAATTATTTTATGATAATTATTCAATAACTAATAAAAATTGTTAACAAAATTGTATATACATGTGTAATTCTGGTCTTTAAACAGGATTCCCACGGTAACAGCCATAAAGGTTTGTTGATGCTGTTGAGTACGATATGCACGCTTTCCGGATCTGCGTAGAAGTTAAATTCTGCCTGGGCAGTTATGTTACCCTGTGCTTTGAATATATTTACGAAAATTTAGCTAAACAAAATGAAATTAATAAATACTTATGGTATATTATTACAACCTATACATTTTTATTTATATAATGGAATGCATTCGAACATTATATAGATGGTATTTTCTGTTCTTACTGATTACAGACATCTCTCTTCAGGTTTACCTATTATATGATCTGTATGAATTTTAAATCTTTATGAATTTTATAATCTACACAAATCACTCAGTTATATTTAATGTTTTAGTTTGTTTAAAATATCACGAGCAAAAAGATAATTTTAATATTTTGACTGCCATGTATCCAAACGATACACATCTGTGAATTCAGGACGTCGCGTATATCAGTCTGTAATACACATATATTTCCTACTTATGTACAATAAGCTTATACTTCGGTGTAATACATACGTTGATGTATAGTAGATGAGCGCGCCACTGTATTATCACCGAAGTACAAGCTCATTTTTTCTCCTTCTTGTACATATTGCCATTTGTAAGTAAACTAAAAACACTTTGCCCTTATTTTGTATTTTGTAAATTCTAAAAATTTTTTATTAATTTAACAATCCTAGTGAAAATTTTTCTCAAAATTTTTCATATAATTTTTCAGAATTTCTATATAATTTTATAATTTTCTCATATTTCTTATACAAATTGGAATACTTTTCAGAAAATCTACATCTTTTCTTAGAATTTTTCATATATTATATTAATTATAAAATATTATAAGATTTTTAAGATTTTTTGTAAGTATAATTTCGGATGAAATGTTATACAATCTAAAAAATTTTTAAATATTTTTTTTTAATTATGGAATGAGAAACTTCAGAATATTTCAGAATTTACATGTATGAAAAATTCTGAGAGAAGACTTGTAAACTTTTCGAATATTTCCAAGTAATTCTGAAAAATGTTTCAATTTATATAAAAATTATAAGAAAAATTTTTACCAGGGAATGCAAACTTGTTGAACTTTATTAATTTATGTTGCTTATGATAGAATTGATAGCAAGATTGTAAACTAATTTTCGATTAACGCAAATCATTTTATATATATTATATTACCAGTTGAATTTCCACCCATTACAAAAAGTTCTTTCACATTGTTCATAAACTCTGGATACAGTTTTGTAGCCATCGCTATGTTTGTCAGAGGACCCAAGCAAATCACGGAGATGTTACCTTAATTATAAAACAATTAAATTAACATAGTTTATGTTATGTAATAGCAGTTATGTAATAGGATTGTATTTATTACATACCTGGCTCCTCCGATGTGATTCTGTGTAAAGCGCACACAGCATGCTCTTCTTGCAGTTTACTTGTATCCGGATCATCGGTGAATATATCTCCGAATCCATCACTTCCGTGATAACATTCTGATGCTGTTTCTTTTGAAGTGTCCAACAGAGACGAATACGCTCCTCGATAAACAGGTATCTATGGAAATAACTTTAATACTTATTTAAACTCTTTATAAGGACACAAAAATGAATGATACAATAACTTACATCTGTGCAGTCACATACGTGCAGCGTTCTGAATACATTTTTCACCACATTGCTCACTTTAGTGTTGCCATTAACACAAGTGATAGCCTTAACGTTGAGTCTCTTGGTGGTGTGATTTGCTAAGAGAATGATTAAGGCCAAAGCGTCATCGATACCGGCATCGCAATCCACAATAATGTTTCTTGGGGCTTCCACCTCATGCATCTTTATCTCGGATTTTGCCGTCGGAAGCATTTTTAATTTTTTACCGCAAGGCAAAACACACGTGAGGCATCTGCGACGTTATCAGATTGAAGTGTAATTCGGACGAGATGTACTCCCGTATTTATTGACGAGTTGATAAGAGTAGTGTGTCGTTGATTACACATCTTATTTATTGCTACGAAGAGATAAAGGTCATTGAGTCTTATCAGACTCGTCCCCACAGAATGCGAATATCACATATATAGTAATCATATTTTCTTAGAGAAAATAAAGGATAAATTTAAAAATTTTAGGACTTAATTTCTAAATATTTATAAACTAATTTACGACTATCAGAAGTCTACGCATCAATTTTTTGCATAGTATTGTACCTGAGATATATATAATTTCCAAGTCATAAAAGGAGTCATTATAGCTACAAAATGACGTCACAATAGTTGCAAATTTTATTAATGTTATTAAAAGTCACTTTTTAATTAATCATAATTTGATGTATTTTGCGACTTTGACTAATTTTTGGGCTAATTTTTGGGCTAATATTGTCTTTATATAAAACTAATAAAGTTGATAGTTTCGGAAAAATTATTCTTCTGAATGCATTTAAATAATCTGCCGGTATATTTGACATCTAAGTAGAATTTATAGACAGGAGAATTCATAGATGAGAATTATTTAATTATACCCCAGCGGATATTAGTTTTAAAGAGAACTCAGAAAATTCAAAATAATTGCGCTTTTGAAATCTTTTATTATTTAGAAAGCAAACTCTTGGAGAATTAATAAATACAGTATATAAATATTGAAAACTATTTAATATATTAGTATTTTATTTAATATATAAATATATTTATTAAACAATTATATAAAATGAGA